TATGGTGGTTTTTTGTTTTGCCCTCTGGGGTTGAGTGTGCAGTCATTTCTGGATGTCCTTCTCTCGGGTTTCTCCCGGTGTCTGTGCTCGTCTTTAAGCGAAGTTTGTCATTCCAGATCTGATCTTGGCAACGAAAAGGGCAGGACAGTTTATCTCCGTTAAATTTGAAGTTAAGTTTGAAGCTGAAATTGAAAGGGTTCTGTTGCCTGACGGAGGCATAATATTAATTATCAAATGCTTTAACATCATGAAAAAAAAAAGTGCATCCGATTTAAGTGGCGAGCCAAAGTCTGTAAGTGAAATCTACATTCTTCCTTGGCCAGAAAGCTCCTCTTGGTCTCCCTGCTTTGTTATCCCTGTCACCTCTCCTCGTCACCCCCCATCACCCTTTCTCTTTTGCCTGGATTTTTTTATTTCCTTGTGCCACATCCCCTCTTTGCACGATACAGTTGCTCTTGGAGAAGCTAGAGGAGCAAATGAAACAACACGGTTATGTGAAAGGTCTCTGGCCCTTGATCACCGTGGAATTGGTTTCAGTCGGTGTTGTTTGATCTTGGATTGGACACGACCCTGAAGTGAAATTGCTTTGGCCAAAGTTGAGGGTGGGTGGGATTTCAGCCCAAAAAGCAAATGGAGGGAGGACAAGTAACAGTAGGCACAATCACCGAGGCAGTCATCTTTGGCCTGGCTTGAGCCAAACAGAATAAAATGTTAAATATCCCAGGGAACAAGAAGTGGGGACTAGAATAGGATTTCTGATGCTCAGATTGACATCCGCCCCTCCCCCGCCCCCTCCGCACGGTAGCAGAAACTTTTAACTATATTTTCCCATTCCCACCCTGCCAGTATTCCAGCAGTGCACGCCAAGTTCAACATTCAGCATGCAAATGCCAAGGTTCCTCTAGAAAAAGAGTCTGATCCCCAGATTAAAGGGAAATGATTTTGTGTGTGTGGATCATTGGGCTCCAGATTATATATGAAGCCAAACTCTAATCCTCTGCAAATCGCAAGAGAACGGTACCTTTTTATACCAGTGCATAGCGATTACTTTCCTCCCTGGGAAGTAGTGGAAAGATATTTTTTAAAAAGGCAACTGTTTGGAATATTTTCAGTACCCAATAACAGTGGTGGCAGAAGAAATCTTATTTTAATTAGGCAACTGCCATTTCCCCAGCGAGAGAAGTAGAAATTTGTTACTTTTTATAAGTGTTTAATGTTTGTTTTTAGGAAACTAAAAAAGCAATTCCAATAAGTCTGATTATTCCAGCACTGACAGCAGGAACAGCTCTGAGGCAGTTATAATAACCTTGCACACTACTTGAAACTAAAGAAGGTGAGAGAAAATTTAAATTGTATGGTAGGAAATTAGGTCAGCCCTGTGCTCAGTAGAGTCATGCTTTAGTTTCTTATTGACAAGTGGGTGTTGCCAGGGTCTTTTGTCTCATCCAGTGATTTGGTATTTTAATTTGCATCAGGTTCCTATCACGGCCCCAAATAAAAGGGAAAAGAGAGATTATTGTAGTTTGTACACATTTGAAAAGGAGGGAAGTCAGAGTTTGAAGGCTGTTCAGAGAGGCATATCTGATCCCAGGCTTTGGAACCAGCAGGGCCAAAATCAATAACATGTTTGAAAGCTTTAGAGAGCCTTTTAAGGATTATTTATGAAGCGCTCTTCTCTGTGTTAATGGTCATGGAGAATTTTGATCTACGTCGAAACATTCTCAGGGGACTGACCAAAGATGTACCCACTAACTTGTGAACAGGTTTCAGAGTTTCCTTTTTGGTTGGGCACGGTATGTGGAGAGCGCATTTCCTATGTGAAAAGTGAAATACAAAAAAAGAGACACTTAGCAAGAACGGCGCCACCCGTGCTCCCACCATGGGTTCCCCGGCACAGCATCTCTTTCTGTGTTTTCTGTAGATTCCAGGTAGACCCGAGCTGCTTCTCCTGGAGTTACCAAGAATTCTCTACTGTTTTTGAAGCTAGACACAGAGTAATAAATACAGCTGTAAAATCTCTGTTGCTCACCAGCCAAAAATGGGTTTGTCCTGTAAGGCAGGATGTAGCTAGGAGTCTCGCAGGTTTGTACCTACTGTTGCTTTACTGTCCATATTTCATCTTTTCTTTCTCTTCTGGGGGTTCAGTATGTCCCACGAGGGCTGCAAATTCACCACACACTGAAAACACCCACATCCAGTGAAGCGAACATTTGGTTCATCTTAGAGTTACCAAAGAATCGGAAGTCACTGGAGCCGGCTTGTCAATCGTTCTTAGCATTAAATGATGAGGAGATTATTTTTCTGTTTGTGAGGATTAGTCACACCCTTTATTCTTTTCTTCTTTCCACTTGTGTTCACTTCTCTTGCTTGGGTCTGGGTTGCAGCTGAAGTGAAACTAAGACTGTAAAGATGAAATGCAAATCTGTTTTCTAGTGACTTGGCATTGCTTACAAAGAAAAGGCTTGCGTGTTGGAGGGCAAGGAGGTAAAAGAGGATGGGCTTTTGGATTTGTTTGGGTTCCTTTATCTAGGTTATTCAAGTCGTTCCCCCCCCCCCCCAGCATCACAGGTAAGTGGGAAAATGAGCACCTGGAAAGGCCTCTATCTAATGACCCGTGAAGTGAGTGAACACAGAATTTTGAAAATCCTTCTCATAATTTTGACCCACTGGAATAAATTCCTTAGAAAGGTAGACATGTCTGTAGATCAGCAGTCACGAGGTTTGTTTTGGAGAGAAGCAGCTTACGTGAAGCTTGCATTCACTCCGTGTGGGATTCTCCTGCCCCTCGTATGCGAGTGAATGTCTCTTTTCTTTGGGGATTGCATTTGGTACAAGTCACCATGTTCTTCCCGTTTGAAGTCCATTTACAGATGCTGCCTTTTCGGAGCGCTTGTCTGTGCTTCCGTCTGGCCGGGTTGATCAGCGCAGACAGACATTTTTCTGCCCATCTATTGAGGATGCTACAGTCCTCCCACACTTCGTAGGAATGGGACTTTATTATCATGCATTGTGTGTATTAAGGGCCCATATGTGTGGACACACGTGCTTTTCCCCTCTTCTCCCTTCCTCCCTCTCTCCCTGGTGTTCCCATACGCGTGGCCTTGGGAAATGACAGAGGCCGAAATGTAGAGTGGTCTTTCCTTGCTGGGCACTTTCCGAGCTAAAAAACACCCGAGAACAAGCAACACTTTTTCCATGAAGCTGCAAGCTGCAGCCTCCTTGTGCTGTGCATATAAAGTACCAGTTCCGCCCACCTCTTCTCCAGATCAGAAACCAGCTTGGTTGTGGGGTTTCCTAAAACCCCCGAAAGCCTGGACTGCGTGTGTGCGTCTTCTGCTCTCCTTGCCCTTTAAGACTTGGACGTCACTCTAGTACATTCCCTCGGCTGAGAAGCCCCTGTTGTGCTCCTCACATGCAAATTGTCTCTGTGGAAGAGTAAGCCAGAAATGAATGTGTCCTGGAGAGACTGAAATGGCCCCTGGCAAGTGAACATTGTCTTGTAACTTTCTTACCGTAGTCTTCCCTGTTCCATCCCTGTTCCATCCCTGGATGGAATATCAGAGGGGATGATCTTGGAAGGGGTACAGTTTGGGGAATTTCCACATGCTTGGTGACATCTATTATTGTATTTCACAAACCACAATAAGTATTTCTCCTTTTAACTTCCTTTTTTTTAAAACAGAGGTAATTCACATGGAGTGTTTTTTGTTCTCTACAAAGGGTCTTAGGCTTGGCCAGTTTACCGCAGGTGGATCCGCATCTATAGTGTCAGCAACTAGTAAAAAGCTCGCTTTTAGTGGGCATTAATTTGGGGGCCACATAATAACAAAAGCAGCTGTGCATTGAGCACCAGAACGTGCTGGTCACCTAATCCTCTAACTCTCCCAATTGTGCAGTTAGTCGGGCACAGAGCAGAATCGAGGCCTCAGGTTGAAAATCTGTGCCGAGGTCGCTTGACATTGTTGCCCTCCCCAAACTCCTCTTTCCCTGCAGGCCCTCTGTACTTGGTGCTCTCCTTGAAGTGTCCACATGTAAGCCATTTCTCTTCTCTGCAGCCCCACCTTTCCCTGAAGATCATGAACAGGCTGTGCGTATGACTCCTGAAATACCTATGTTCGGGGCTGCATTTTACCCTATCAGAGCCCGTCATGTAATCTCCGAAACCTGGAAATACGATGCTATGGGGATTTATGTAGATGGGCCAAAGTAAGGAAAAGTATATGTGGTTATCTCTCCCGGGTTTATTCATGCAACTGAAGTAGGAACAAAGGTGTTTTGTTCTTTTTGTGGCGGGAGCTGATAGCTGGCAACCACACTTAGCTGAACTTCAAGAAATGGGAGAGAACTGTGAATGCTTCATTCAGGCCCAAGTAAATATAGGAAAAGGTGGAGTGGTGTGTGGAGGACTGAGTAAAAAAAAAAAAAAAAAAAAGGCACTTGAGAAGGAAATCATGGGGAGAGGGAAGGTAGGATAGATTGGTCGGGCACTGGCTAGACCTTAAGCCGAAGTGAAATGCAGTCATCGTGGGTATGAGACCTGGATATGGGGAAGAAGGAGTAAGGGAAAAATGTCAAGGGTTGTGAAAGCCACTGAGAAGTGAGGGGATTTGTTTATTGAACCGATGTCCTGTGTCTCTTTGACAGGGTTGAGTAACTCTTGTCAGTGTCCTTTCTGAATGGTCTACCTTGGACAGGTGAAGAAATCCTGGTTTTTGATTATTGATTACATAACCAAGTCATTTTATAACAACAGAAGGACAACCGACTTGTGGGCACCAAAAAGAAAGAAATTCTGGTTCCCAAAGCGTGTTCATGTTGCTTTTCCCTTTGAGGGCGAAGGTAGCGGCCTCTCTGCTTGTAAGAAACATTCTCAACTGCGTGACGAAGTCCTTTGAAGTAACGATGCTGAATGAAATAGAAGCAAACCATACTTTGCTTTCCTCCTTTTCTTTACTACCCATTATAAATTCTAAAGTCTCTCTTTGTATTTTCTCTTATAGCCATGAGACCCAAACAACTTGCTGGGATCATCCCAAAATGACAGAGCTCTACCAGTCTTTAGGTAAGGACATGGCCACCTTTGCTCCAGGTTAAATGACAGGTGACTCGCAGGATAAAGTAGTTTGTAGTGTGCACGTTATTGGTTGTCTAAATCTATCACTAGATTGTTTAAAAGGTGAAAACGACACCTTTCAACCCAAAATTGACAGCTTTCTTTTTCACAGAGGTTCTTTAAAAATAAGTTTTAGAATGTCATGGATTCCTGAAAATTCAATATACCTGAGAGGGCCAAAAGGTCTTTGTAGTTTTCTTTGCTGCGTAAAAGGATGGAAAAAAAAATACTTGCAATTTATGGCAATTGTTTTTCCCACCAAGAAAGAAAACTGTTTCAAGTTCTTATTGATTTCTTCCCTGTGAACTCAGGACAGTGCTTTTGCCAAACCACGAATATTGTGGTAGGAATTTTCTGCAGTCTTTTCAGTGCTTGTAATTCTCAAGCCTGTCAGGTCGTCAGCGTGAACATTTAAATGATTTCTCTACTATGTCTTGTTTTGTGTTTGTGTGAGAGCCTGAGAGTTTTCTTCCCCCTCATAACTGGGAATTTTTTGAACAGACACATAGCCTCCAAAGAAGAAGAAAACATCAATCCTTCTAATGCTTCATGGAAGTCCACTCTGTACCATTTTAGATCTTTGGAGAGTAATCTGAAATGAATTATCTTACATAGTAACTAGTTGTTGATTTTTTAATTAAAAAATACATCTTCTCTACTACTAAAACAATTTTTTAAGTCTGCTTCTTTGTGAATGGATGTATTTACAGACTAAAATGCGTAAGGTGAACTCTTTGGGTTTAAAGCTATGTGACAGTGCCCATGGGAATCAGGGTGATCAGACGAATTTTGTACATATGGGCGCACACGCGTGTGTGTGTGTGCACGTGCATGTGTGTAGCTATTGCTGACTTGCTGTCGTAGGTTCTCACTGGTTAACTAATTGAAATTAGAGAGACATGGGGTAGGAGACATTAGTCAAAAAATTGTTTTCCCAGACTTCTAATTATACGTGAAATTAGTTCCTTCTAGAAAATCCAAAAAATACAAATAAAAAGCATGAGAAACAAAAGACTTCACTTGCAATTCTACTGACCAGAGATATCCAGTACATTTCAATTAATACTGTACCATTTTAGTCTAGCAGCATGTATGTATGTGTGGTGTGCATGTGTGTGTGTATGCATTGCACACATGTACACTTTTTAAAAATTTCAAGAAAATTGGGATCAGCTCATCTTTAAGTGCTACATTTGCAGCCCTTACAAAATGTTTCTGGCTTACAGTGCTGTACTGTTTAGACCACAGGTGGGAAACTTAAATGCTTATCTTTTGGCAAATGAGAGAATGGAGGCCTCATCTGAAGTAGGCAGCGGCTTTGCTGGGCAAGCAGGCCATCCTAGCCCTGTGTTCTCAGGACTTGTGATTTTTCAAGAGAAATGAGAAATCTGTCAATCAAGAGCTAATTTGAACTTGTCTGTGGACCTCCTGATTATAACCTCGGGTTTACACTGATTCAGCCCACTTGTAATGTTTTACCTCTAATCAGAGTGACTTGTAGTTGTAATATTTGAACTTACTTTTACTTAAAAATCTTTATTATAGAATTAATAATTCAAATTTTTGGAAATTTGAAAATATAGGCAAGCTAATGAACAAAAAAAGAAGAAAAGACAGGGGCGCCTGGGTGGCTCAGTCGTTAAGTGTCTGCCTTCGGCTCAGGTCATGATCCCAGGGTCCTGGGATGGAGCCCCACATTGGGCTCCTCGCTCCGCGGGAAGCCTGCTTCTCCCTCTCACACTCCCCTTGCTTGTGTTCCCTCTCTTGCTGTCTCTCTCTCTGTCAAATAAATAAATAAAAATCTTTAAAAAAAAAAAAAAGAAAAGACAAATCCTTTATAACCCTCCTCTTAGAGTTAACTAATACTTAATAATCTCGTAGGTAGCTTCACAAAAATTTCTTTCTGTATATACATTTTTACAAAAGTTGGATGGTTCTGTCTTATCAGCTTTTTTCCACCTAAAGGTAATGTACCATGGCCATATTTCCGTTTCATTACATTGTATTCTCTACTGGCTTACTTTTAATTGCTCTGTAATGAGAAACCACAAACGTGGTTGATAAAAAGCTAATTATGAACTATCAATGAGTAGATGTTTGTACCTTCAGTAGGAATTAAATACACCTTTTATCATCATATTTCTGAAGTTTTCGCAATAATTCAAATGTGGTAAAGTCAAAGCTGGTAATCTGGCATGATTTCTGACCTTGGGCAGATCACCGGACTTTGGGAGATAATAGAATTCTACAGTTGCAGGGGAATTTAGAGCTCATTTATTACAAACTTTTTCTTTGATGAAATCAACTTTATTGATCTAATTTACGTATCATAAAATGCAGCCATCTTAAATAAATGGTCAGTTCCAACCTCCTTTGAAAATCTGCTCTTAGCTATCCCGGTAACAATCATCTTAGAAATGAACTGGTGTTGAAATTTGTCCTACGGCTTTCAGAACTAAAATTGCCAGTGTTTTTTGTTATAATCAGATGTTACTTAGGCGAACTTTTATCCAAATGGAGACTCATCTGGTAACATCTTCCATTTATTTGAGAGCATTGAACATGTCCACAACCGTTGTGCACTATGGAAGATCTCAACATCCATATTTCACAGGGCAGTGAAGTCAGGTGCAGAGAAACCATTTATCAGAGCTACACAGCTCTCTGGGGCTACACTGCGATTTGCTCAGGGTCCTCTATTAGCATTTTCACTCCTCTCATTGATTTTATTAACTCAGTAAAGCATGCCCACATAGGTTACTGTGCACCTGCTACAAATAGGTATGAGTTGACAGTTTCACCTGTGGATAGAGAGTGACTTGAATAGTATTTCTGGAACAAACCATTGCACTTCTACAGATGGTATGGTAGGTTCCTAGATGGTAGGCCCTCTTCCTTTCAGTTTTGCTGGGCACTGTGAAATGGTTGAGTTTGTTTGTTATATATGGTTGAGTTTGATTGTTACACGTCTATATCCCTGAGATGACCTATAAGATTAAGTATTATTTCTGCCCTCACCCACCCCTTACAGTGTTTCCAAGTTGAAATACAAGCATAACATACTGAAAAGAAACCTTTTATTTCTTTTTAATTTTTGTATATTGGCTTATATTTTTTACTCACAAGATAGCCCTTTAGGTCCAAGTTGCTACTTTGAGCTCTAGAATAAATGGTTGGAAGCATTCATCTGCACTCAGTTCATGAAAGGTATCATGAAAGCAAAACTGCTGTGTGATGGGGTGTGTTCAATGTTTTAGACAATATAGATCTGAAGTAGGTCCCTCACTGGGGCGCCTGTGTGGCTCAGTGGGTAAGCGTCTGCCTTTGGCTCAGGTCATGATCCTGGGGCCCTGGGATCGAGCCCCTCATCGGCCTCCTTGCTCAGTGGGAAGCCTCCTTCTCCCTCTGCTTCTGCCACTCCCCACTGAAGCTACAGTGGTTCACAATATGCAGGAAATATGACACATTCCTAAATATGCCCACTTCCGAGAAGACTTCCATTCTCAAATTGGCCCAAATCCCCAACCAGCCTGTTCAACACACATTTGTTAATGCCCCTTGTCCCCAGAGCATTCAGGTGTTCTCCAGGCACCCTCTCCTGTGGTCTGGACAGCATACTGTTGGAAACCAAAAGCATTTTGGATGGACTGAAAAAGTAGCATTTAAGTACCGACTGATAGAAGGCTAGGATGTTACTTCACGTGTTATATTTGCGTTCTCTAGTTAATAGAATGATAGGTAAGTTTTTTCATTCTTTGTGATTTTCTACAATGAATGGATATTACTTACAATTAGATGTTTAGCATAGAATGTTTCTTCATCGTTACTCCACTCCTTAGTGTCCCTACAGCTGTAACGGATTCACCAGTGAGAACCCGTGACAGAAAAGTAACGATAGTCACACACATACCTCCCCCACACATCACACATACATGTATAGGATTGATGTTTAAGTACCCCAATTCCATCGACTTTGTCAGGTAACTTTTAACACCAGGAGATCGCCTCATGTGTTCTAGTTTCTGAGTATGTCCTTCCACAAAAAAAGCAGACCTAAAGAGTTTTAATGGTAGAAAGGCATACGTAACTTTTTTGTTTAAAAAAAAAAAAAAGGAAGAGATTTAATTTCAAATTATTCTTAACAGCTCCAAAACAGCTTTCTGGAGTGAGCTCTCATCAAATGTTAAAAATATTTGTGTTTTCTCTTTACGTTTTAGTCTGTGTACCTGCTCGAAAAATTCTAAGTTCTGAGGGCAAAACTTGTCAGACTTCCACACCAATACACAACAGGGCATAATAAAGAAATAATGTAAATGTTCACAGTGATGACCTGACAGTCATTAGGAATTTGAGGATTGGAAGGTCTCCAGAAAATTTTTTATGCAACCATTAACAGTTTGGCAAAAGCGTGGTCTTGTTTTCACAAGGAGGAAATCAATAAGAACAACCTGAAAACAGTTTTCTTTCAGCATTTTTCTCTGACTGCCCCCAGTGTGGGGTGTGAGGGGTATATCAAAAACCGAAGTTTCCCATATCTATTTTTATGTGGGCCTTGGTATTCTTATCTTTATAATGAGGGTATGGGACCAAAGTATCTACAGATTTTGTTTATTTTTCTCTTACTTTGGGCTGAAGTAGAGCAGATTGTTTCCAGAACTTGCTGTGATCATAATTTTTCAAGAAGCACCTTAGGCTGACTCTGCAGACAAATGTATTTCTGAAAGTTGAATCATTCCTATTTTTAAAACTGCGCATTCTAGAAAACAAACAACAGGGAGAAAGATCCTGCCACCCATCCGTGTCTTACAGGCAGAGTGAGGCAAGCTATTACCAAGTATAGATGCTGTTGAGATATTTCCCCCAAGACCCGCTGGGCCATCCATTTGTTGTTCAAAAGGCATGTTCTTCATCATTTCTTAGAAGCAATAATATGGCCGATACGTGAGGTG